ATAGAGCAGGGTTTAGGGCTGTTGTGCATAGCGTCGCTATGAGTCGGAAACGACTCGACGGCACATAACAACAACAACAACAATTACAAAGTTCGTACACATTGCTTTTCACATTGAATCTTTCCAGTTTCCTTTACTCACTCCTCCCTCCACCCATCAAATTGTGTGACCCTGATTAACCACCACAGCTGCCCATCCTCACCCCTTTGCTCCCACCCTCCCCTACTTGGATCCTCATACACATTCTACACTAATGTCAAACTTCCCTTATCCTGCGAGAGGGCACCTAGACAGACCAAAGCTGCCTGGGAGTTGAAATATTAAATCAGATAATAATGATTAGATGTGTGGGTATAACTATACATTTGGTTGTGACTACCAAGTGCTTTTAGCAGCTAATGAAGCTCAGGCTAACTGTTCCACTACGTGGTGAAGCTTACACTGATCTTGCTATAAATCTGGCAGAAGAAATGACGGGGCACAGCTTGATTTGGCTGACAGCCTTAATCTCCTCCTATGAGGCAGAGAATTCCTACTGTAAGTAGGAAATCATGTGCACAATAAACCAAACAAATGCTTTGTTTCTACTCAAGATCCATGGCATCTATGCAAGAAAATATCTGTGAACAGGTGAGTGAGAACAATTACAAAACAAACTAAAAATCAAAACTGACAACAAATACAAACTAGGGGAAAACTATGATGAGTAACAATTTTTGTTTTAAAAATGTGGGTCATTTCTAAAGTTTTAAAAAATATTATTAATTTTTGAGTGTTTGTTTACAAATCCTATTGGGTTTTTATTTGTTCATTTATAGATATTTTGTTTTAAAATATTAATGTTGTTGATTGCTGTAGAGTCAAGCATGACTCAGAGCGACCCTCTGAACCAAAGCCTTTCTATAACTCTCATCATTTATCAAAGTTCATAGAGTTTCCAGAGGCATGTGGTTTAGGAAGTAGATGCCTCTCCTGCTTTCAAATAGCCAATGATTAATGTAATTAATTATTGTGTCTAATTAACCCCTTATTTTCTATTTCTTTTCCCTTTACTAAATATATATTGTTATTAATTTTTACTGTCCTCTTTTCCTTTCTCATCTCTGTTAATCCCCCAAGATTGATTCTACCAAAAATGTGGTAATTTTTTATTGGAACACTGATTGATAAATTGCTGATAGGAAGGAACGGTACAATTGTTATGAAAAACAGTATGATTTGTAAACCTTCACTCAAACAAAAAGAATGAATAATTTTTAACAATCACCATCTCTCAACATGATTTTTATCTTTAGTTAAAATTGTAGAGTGAATATAGAGTTCCCATCCTTATTTTTTTCTCTTAGATTTTTAAAAACAAGTTATAAAGGACACAATTAAAACCTCCAAGGCTGGGTGTCTAGTTAGGACACTACTTCTACATTTTATGATTGAAGAAGGAACTTAAGATGCTGTTTACCCTCTAAAAAAAATCCCATCAAAGCATCCTGTTGTGGTATGATGGCATGATGTTGTGGTATTCCTAAGGCTAGATGTGAGAGTCTACATCATCTCACCTTATCTGTTATGTCCAGTAGATGAAGGGGGAGACCGTCTGAGAGGGAGCTGTCAGACCCGCTGGTACTGTTTCCAAAAGGAAAGAAGAGAGAGAAACAACTGTCATTCATATATTTGGGAAGTGTAACATTTACCAGATGAGATGTCTAAATTGGGGTAGCTAGTCAGCTTTTTGCCCACATTGTCTATGTTTCCATTTTGCAGGAATATGTGACAAGAATATCATTCATTCACTCACTTGCTTATCTTGAATACTCCAAACCAGGCAGTGTATTAGGAACAGTGTAAAGATGAGAGAGTCAGAGTCCTGGAACCCAGGAGTTGACAATCCAGCCAGATGGGCAAAGTTGCCCATATCAGTGGCTGGGAGAGGCTACAGGATTATCAAGGCACATCCTCAGGGGAGATTGGCAGACTTGATTTGTTTGAGACTCATCTGACCAGTACCAATTCAGAGAGCCAGGAACCTATCAGGTACTCTTTTCTATGTTGTTGTTGTTATGTGTCATCGAATCATCTACAACTCATAGTGACTATGCACGAAAAAGCGCTGAACCCTCCCCAATCCTGAGCCAGTCTCACTGTCTCTGACACACCAACCCCCCCATAACAGAATTACTAATAAGGAATATACAAGTCAGAGACCCATAGTGCTACTTTTATTACTCTAATTCTATCTACTTCTAAAAGTTTTGGATGAAAATCTAAACTAATGTAAAGCCCTTATCCATAAACTATCCCCGTCCTTCCATCTCTACATTCTCTTATACACTAAATCCAATCCATTAAAAAAAATCCTAATGGTGGTATTCTCAAAGTCAAGAATCTGACCCATTCAGAGCACTAGACAACTGCCAGCATCCTTTTCTAAGGCACTATCACATTTCACCTGTCTTACACTATTGGTCTCCTCCTATGAGTGTGCCTGGTTAGACTTTTCTCCCTTACAGTCTATTTTCCACATAGAAGCCAGGGTATTCCTGTTAAAATTAAAAACTAAGCCATATTATGACATGTCTCTATTCAAAACCTCCCCAAAGCTTTCCATCTCTCTTGGAGTAGTAGCCAAAGACTTTATTGAAACAGTGAGCTCTGGTAGTCTAGAAGTAAGATGTGTTGCAATTCCAAAGCCATGTGGTTTGAACACACAAGCGGCTCGACAGGAGAAGGATGGGCAATCTCCTCTCTTGTGATTTACTGCTTCTGAAAATCGGCTGGAGGGTTTGGATTGGTTCTGATTCAGTGACACACAACAACAACAACATATGAATGAGGGTGACAAAAGAAGAACTGATACCTTTGAAATGTGGTGTTATAGAAGAGTACTGAATAAAAACGGACTACCAAAAGAAAGAATACCTCTATTTTGAAGGACCTGTAACCAGAGTGCTCACTGGAGGCAAGGATGGTAAAACTGTAACTCATTTACTATGGGCAAATCTCTAGGAGGAACTAACTAGTCCTTGAAGAGAGATGCCATGCAGGGAAAGGTAGAGGGTCACCAAAAGACAGGCAGACCCTCACCTAGATGGACTGACTACGATGGTGACTACCACAATGGGCTAGAGCAGGACAGAGATCATGACGATGGCACAGGACAGGCAAGATTCAGATCAGTTGTTCATAGGGTCACTCCGAGTTGTAGTCAACTTGATAGCACCTAACAACAACATCCTAAGGCCCTATCCAAACAGCCTGCCACACAATCCACAGAACTGGGCCTGGCAAAGTACAGGCACTCAACATACAGATGTTGAAGGAATTTAAGTGCACTTAAGTATGTCACAACCAAAGTCTAAAATGACCAACCAACCAATCAGCCAAAGCCCAAAGAAATCACAAAACAACAAAGAGCAAACAAAATATTTTTTAAAAGGAAGCATTTGTAAGTGTTTTAATCAGTAAGGGGTGTTGGATTTTGTCATATATCTTTTCTGCATCAATTGCTAGGATAATGTAGTTCTTGTTATTTGCTTTGTTAATATGGTGAATTATGTTGATTGTTTTTTTATGTTGAACCCTCCTTGCATATCTGTGATGAATCACACATGATCATGATGTATTATTATTATTATTTTTTTATGTGTTGTTGGATTCTATTGGCCAGCATTTTGTTAAGGATTTCTGCATCTATATTCATGAGAGATATTGGTCAGTAGCTTACTTTTTTGGTAATACCTTTGTCTGGCTTTGGTATTAGGGTTATGCTTGCTTCAAAGAATGTCTCTGAGAGTGTTCCTTCCTTTTCTATTTTTTGAGATAATTTAAGTAAAATTGGTGATAGATCTTCCCTGAATGTTTGGTGGAATTCAGCCATGAAGTCATTAGGTCCAGGACTTTTTTGTGGGGGAGTCTTTTTTTTTTTAAAATTTATTTTATTGTTGTTGTTATGTGCCATTGAGTCGCTTGTGACTCATAGCTACCCTATGTGCAACTGCTCTAAACTCTGCTCTGTCCTGTGCCAATCTCACTGTCTCTGACACACTCATCCCGATTGCCCCAGTCACTGAATCAGTCCACCTCCCAGAGGGTCTTCCCCTCCTGCACCTGCCCTCCACCCTCCCAAGCATGTTGTTCCTCTCCAAGGACCAATCCCTCCTTACAACATGAACAAAGTATGTCAGACAAAGCCTCAGAATCCTTGCCTCCAAGGAGCAGCCCGGTTTAACCCACTCCAGGATGAATTTTTATGTGTACCATCAAATCGGATCTGACTGGTACAGGAGGAGATTGCCCCTTCTTCTCTGCAAAGCATCTGGTGGATTCGAACCACGTACCTCTGGGATTGCAGTGCAGCTTCTTGCCACTAGGCCACCAGAGCTCCCTGTGGGGGGAGTCTTTTTATGATCTGCACAATTTCTTCTTTTGTTATAGGTCTGTTCAAGTGTTCTACATCTGTCCGTGTCAGTCTGGGTAGGGGATGAGTTTCAAGGAACTTGTCCAGTTCCTCTAGGTTTTCAAATTTATCAGCATATACCTTTCCATAATATTCCAGTTTTATAGAATTAATTTCCTTTGGTTCTGTTGTGATGTCAAAATCATTGGTAATAAGAGAGATGCAAATCAAAACCACAATGAGATACCATCTCACCTCAGTAGCAGTGGCAAAGTTTAGCAGGAGAGCAAACAGTAAATGCTGGAGAGGATATGGAGAGGTGGGAACTCTCATAAACTGAGATTATAAAATGGTACAACCATTCTGTAAGGCAGTTTGGCATTTTTTCAAAAAGCTGAACATAGAAACTCCATATGGCCCAGCTATATCAACAACCTGCATTATGCAGATGACACAATCCTGTGAGCTAAAACTGAGGAGGACCTGATGTACTTGCTGCAGAAGACCAAGGACTACAGCCTTCAATATGGATTGAAGTTCAACACCAAGAAAACAAAGATTCTCATGACTGGGCCAATTGGCAGCATCATTATGGAAGGTGAAGAGATTGAGATTAACAGGTTTAGTTTACTTGGTTCCACAGTCGACATTCTTGGTACCAGCAGCCAGGAAATCAAGAGATGAATTGCATTGGGAAAGTCAGCTGTCAGGACCTTTCTAGAGTACTGGAAGAGCAACAACATCAGACTGGAGACTAAGGTGTATCTGATCCGGGCCATAACCTTTGCAATTGTATGTTATGCGTCAGAAAGTTGGACAGTGACTAGGGATGATAGAAAGAGAATTGATGCCTTTGAGCTATGGTGTTGGAGAAGAGTATTGAATATACCATGGACTGCTAGGAGAACAAACAGGTTCATCCTGGAGAAAGTGAAACCAGGCTGTTCCTTGGAGGCAAGGATTCTGAAGCTTCATATGACATACTTTGGTCATCTAACAAGGAGGGATTGGTCCTTGGAGAAGGACATCATGCTTGGGAAGGTGGAGGGACAGCGCAGGAGAGGAAGACCCTCGATGAGATGGATTAATTCACTGACTGGGGCAATGGGGGTAGGTGTGTCAGAGACAATAAGATTGGCACAGGAAAGAGCAGTGTTTAGGTCTCTTGTACATAGGGTCACAAGAAACTCGAAAGCACATAGCAGCAACAACAACAATATTCCACTACTAGGAATATACCCCAAGGAAATAAGAACTGAGACACAAATGGAAATTTGTACACCAATGTTCACAGCAGTGTTATTCACCATTGCAACAACATGGAAACAGCCTAAATGTCCAACCACAACTGAACAGATTGAGAAACTATGGTACATTCACACAATTAAATACTATGCAGTATTCAGGAGCAACAAGTTTGAGAAATACCACATAACTTAGGAGAGACAGGAGAGTATTAGGCTGAGTGAAGTAACCTAGTCTCATAAGAACAAATACTGCATATGAGCATAATTGTAAAAACAGAAGGATAACTAATAAAATGTGTTTGGAGTCCAAGAGGCAAGAGGTGAGAGCAGAGAGGTAAGGATGGGTAGAGGGGACATCACAGGGTTGCACAATTTGGTGGGTGGAGAGACGGGGTAAAGGAAATAGGAAAAATCTGGCAAGTACCTGAAAAGACCGGGTAATGATGGGCATAGCTCAATTGTGATTAATTGTATCAAATTAGAACTCTGAATTTGATAAACTTATTAATTTTAAAACACTATATATGGGAATGATAATATGAAACATAATATAAATGAAGGAAAGTATGGGGAGAAATCTGCATTAAAAATAAACATATATATATATACACACACACACACATTATATACACATAAATATAAAGATAGAATTTCTATGTTTTTCCTTAGACATTAAATTTTAAATTTAAGGGAACTCTGGTGGTCTTGTGGCAAGAAGCTGCACTGCAATCCCAGAGGTGCACAGTTCGAATCCACCAGATGCTCTGCTGGAGAAGGAGTGACAATCTCCTCCTGTACCAGTCAGATCCGATTTGACGGTACACACACACAACATAATAAATAATTTAAAAAAATTAAATTTGACACCTCGATTCAATGTCTGACAAAGAGATGTCACTCCATCTTCCTTCTAGATCCATATCTTGTCCAAGTTCATTGAATTTCTTATTGATTTCCTGTTGTAAAAGTTCTCTGAGTTCTGCTAGACACTGTGTGAACTGTGAAAATGAAGAGAAGAACTATTTTAGATCATTTACTTATGTGTCAAATATCTACTATTTATACTCTGAGAAACACTTTACTCACTGCAGGGGACATAAACAGCAGAGTCTGGTGTCTTATTAACAACCTGTACGAGGTGTAAGAACATGGAGGCTTTTTCAGGGCCTTGCATTAGTCATTTTTCTCTGGCTAGTGGTCAACAAAATAATGGACATCTGTTTTATGATTTTGAGTAGCAGTAGCAAGGCAATGTTAGAATGGGGTAGTTCAGGTTTTTGTTTATGGCAAAGATGATATAACAGACTGGAGTGTAGCAATATCTTCATTAAGTATTTTTATAAACAACTGCATTCAGGAAGGCGTATATCAATAATGTTCCTAGGGCTAGCACTTCTGGAGCTGTATGAGACCATAGGTAAGTTAGAAACACGAGTACAGACTCTATTTACGAAGCTGAGTGAAGTGGGGACAGAGAGAAACAAACGTGTTTGTGTTTTAGGAGAGGGGCAGCTTGAGAATGTTAGCAGTTGAGGAAAACTAAGAAGAGTATCGAACTGAAGACAGAAAAGAGAATTAACAAGGGAAGAAGACCTAACTGACAGATGTTGTCATCACCAGGGCAATGTTAGTTTTGGAGAAGAGAAAACACACTTGATTTTCTGAAATAGGAGAAAAAGACCAAACTCATGCCTGCTGAGTAGGCACTAACCCACAGTGACTTTCTAAGACAGAGCACGATAGATCCACAGGGTTGCAAGCCTGGAATTCTTTACAGGGACACACTGCCTCTTCTTGCTCTCTCAGAGTATCTGGTGGGTTTGATCCACCAACCTTTCAACAGCAGTCCGATGCTTAGCCTACTTAGTACCACCATACCTGCTTTGAAATAGGAGAAAAGAATTAAGCTCTGCCATAGGTAAGCTAGAGTGAGGGGAGGTGCTGAAGCAAAGTGGGCAGTGTGGTTTCCATCTTCTCAGCGCATAAAAGAACAGATGCATTAACAGGTGCAGCCCCGAACACGCTTGCCAGCCTGTGCCAGAAAACCTGGAAGGCAGCCAGCTACCTGACGAGTGACAAGATATCCATATTTGTTGCTATTTCTAAGAAAGTTGATCCACCAGAAGGTGGAATTCGTTGAACAATATCACTAATATCACATGTAAGCAAAATATTGTTGAAGATCATCCAAAAACAGAACAATACATCGACAGAAAACTACCAGAAGTTTAAAAGGGTTTAAAAGTCTGTGGCACTAAGGATATTATTATTGATGTAAGATGTATCTTGGCTGAAAACAGAGAATACCAGAAGAATGTCTATTTGTGTTGTATTAACTACACAAAGGCATTTGACTGGATCGTAACAAACTATGGCTAACCTTGAGAAGAAAGGGAATCCCCAAATATTTAATTATGCATATATGAAATCTATACCTAGACCAAGAAGCTGTTGTGCAAACAGAACAAGGGAACATTGTATGATTTAAAACAGGAAAAGGTGTATGTCAGGGCTGTATCTTCTCTCCATACCTATTCAATCTGTATGCTGAGCAAATCATCTGAGAAGCTGGACTCTATGAAGAAGAGTGTGGCATCAGGATTGCAGGAAGGTTCATTAACAACCAGCAATATGCAGATGACACAACCTTACTTGCTGAAAGTGAGGAAGACGTGGAGTACTTGCTATAGAGGATCAAGGACTACAGCCTTCAATATGGATTACATTTGAACACCAAGAAGACAAAAATCCTCACCACTCGGCCAACAGGCAACATCATGATAGATAGAGAAAAGACTGAAATTGTCAAGGATTTAATCTTGCCTGGATCCACAGTCAACACCCTTGGTATCAGCATACAAGAGACAGGAGATGTATAGCATGGGGAATGTCTGCTTGGAAACTCTCCAAAGTCTGGAAGAGCAATGATATTAAAGACTAAGGTGCACTTGATTCAAGCCACAATCTTTCCAATTACCTGCTGTGCATCTAAGAGCTGGATAATAAATATGGATGACTAAATAAGAATTGATGCATTTGAGTTGTGATGTTAAGGAAGAATGTTGAACATCCCATGGAATACCAAAAAAACAAACAGATAAGTCTTGGAGAAAGCGTAACCAGAATCTTCCTTGAAGGAAAAGCTGATGAAGCTTTGTCTCAGATATTTGGTTGAGACATATTATTATGTGCTGTTGAGTTGCCTGTGACCCATAGTGATCCTATGTATAGCAGCTCTGAACCCTGCTCTGTCCTGAGACAGTCTCACTAATTCCTACACACCTACCCCCATTACCCCAGACATTGAGTTAATCCATCTCACCGAAGGTCTTCCTCTCCTGTGCTGTCCCTCCACATTTCCAAGCATGATGTCCTTCTCCAAGAACCAGTTTCTCCTGGCCATATACCCAAGGTAAGTGAGACAGAGCTTCAAAATCCTAGCCTCTGAGGAGAGACTTGATTGCACCCTTTCCAAGACAGACTTACTGTAAGGTGAGGCTATTCCTTGGATAGGGACATCATGGTTGGGAAGGTGGAGAGTTAGCAAAGGAGAGGAAGACCCTCAACAAGATGGAAAAGAAAGGACAGAGTTCAAATCTTTTGTTCATAGGGTTGCTTTGAGTTGTACTCGACTCACTGACACTTAACAACAGCACCATTTATAATCCTAATGGACTGACTTTGAGTCCACCTTCAGCTGATGATGTTATATCAGTTCATTTCCTGAAACCTTATGTTTACCTTGCTTTGATCAGGGTCACAGAAATCCAGAAGAGTGTCACAGACTTGATAACCTAGGGATTTCAGATCCTCAACAGTAAAATGGGTGTCTCTCTTATTGCCTGGAAAAAAAATCCATAAACATTTTTTATTAAGTCTTAATAACTATTCTTATAACTAAAGCAAATATTATTATCTCTTTAAAAATACCATCTCTTAGGGGAGCTCTGGTGGCTTAGTGGCAAGAAGCTGCACTACAATCCCAGAGGCGCATGGTTCGAATCCACCAGATGCTCTGCCGGGGAAGGAAGGACAACCTCCTCCTGTACCAGTCAGATCTGATTTGACGGTACATGCACACACACAAATAATAAAATAAAAAAAATACTAGCTCTTAAAAAATAGTTAAAAAACTATGAACAACTGATTTTTTACAAGGAAATCAAAGCTATCAAATGGGGAAAGGATAACCTCTTCAATAAATGGTATTGGCAAAACTAGACTTCCACCTGCAGAAAGCTGAAACTGGATCCACATCTTACACCATACACAAAAATCAACTCAGGTGGATCAGAGAGAACTGGGAGTAAAGCCCCAAACCATAATGTTCATATGAGACAAAGTGGGATCAAGCTTAGAAGCGCTAGTCCAAGGTATAATGAGACCACCAAATACAACCAGAAATGCACACTCTGAAGAGGATAAAATTGATGCATGGGACCTTCTAAAGATTAAATCCATGTGTGCATAAAAAACTTTTTCCAACAGGATGAAAAGAAAACCTATGGACTGGGAACAAACATTTGGTAATTCCATCTCAGACAAGAGTCTTATAACAAAAGTTTACAGAATACTCCTCGGCCTCCATTAAAAAAAAGAGTGACAATCCAATTACAAAATGGGCTAAAGACATGAAAAGAATTTTTATGGAGGGAGATATTCAAATGGAAAACAGACACATGAAGGAATCACTGGCAATAAAAGAGATGCAAATCAAAACCATAATGAGGTACCATCACACTCTAGTAACAGTGGCAAAGTTTAACAGGGCAGCAAGTGATAAATGTTGGAGAGGATGTGGCAAAAAAGGAGCACTTATACATTGTTGGTAGGATTGTAAAATGGTACAACCATTCTGGAAGGCAGTTTGGTGCTTCCTCAAAAAAGCTGAACATAGAAATTCCCTATGAACCAGCTATTCCACTACTTGGAATATACTCTGAGAAAATGAGAACTAAAAAAGAAAAAGAAAAAAAAAGAAAACGAGAACTGAGGCACAAAAGGAGATTTGTACACAAATGTTCATGGCAGTATTATTCACCATCAGAAGAATATGGAAACAGTCCAAATGTCCAACCATAAAAAAATAGATTGAGAAATTATGGTACATTTACACAATGGAATACTATGTAGTATGCAGGAGCAATGATTTTGTAAATTATTACCTAACTTGGGAGGGGCTGGAGAGCATTATGCTGAATGAACTAACTCAGTCTCACAAGGATAAAATTGTATAAAACCATTATTGTAGAATGAATCTAAGGTTCCAGGAGGGGTGGGAAATGTTGAAAGCAGAGGGATGAGGATGTGTGTGTGTGTGGGGGGGAATTTAATCATGTGTTTTTACAATTTGATTGGTAGGGGGATGAGGGAAATGGAATGAATTTGTTCTTGAAAACAATATGTTGGAATTTTATAAATAAACTAGTAGAAAATTTTAAAAAGTAGAAAAAAATAGTTAAAAAAGAAATAACAGCTGAAAAAGGAACAAAAAATATCATATGATTTTCAATTTTATAGTTTTCAATGTAGTAGCTCTCTTTCTAGTTTTCATTTGTTTCAGAAGGATACTTGACAATAAAGAAATCTCCCATTATAGTAACTATTGTTGCTTTATTTTTTTGGTAGGTACTGTACAGGCCAAATGTTTTTCATGCATTATTCCATTAAGCTGAATTCAGAAAAGCATGTGAAATAAGGGATATCATTGTTGATATCAGATGGATTTTAGCTAAAGCAGAGGATCCAGAAAGATGTTTACTTCTATTTGATTGACTATGCAAAGACATGTGACTGTATGTCCTAACAAATTATGGGTAACATTGCAAAAATTGGAGATTTCTGAACACTTAATTATGCTCATACCTGTCCATAGATCAAGAAGTAGCTGTTTGACCAAAACAAAGGGATACTTTGTGGTTTGAAATCAGAAAAGGTATGCATCAAGCTTGTATTCTTCTACCACACTTATTCAATTTTCTGTATGCTCAGAAAATAATCTGAGAAGCTGACCTGTACAAAGAGGAATGCTACATTCAAATGGGAAAAAGACTTAACAACCTGTTAAATGCAGATGATATAACCTTGCTTGCCAAAAATAAAGAGGACTTGAAGCACTTACTGGTGAAGAACAGAGACTACATATATACTGTCATAAAGGAAACAAAAACCTTTACAGCATTATGAAAAACAAAAACATTGACAATGTCAAGGATTTCATTTTACTTAGGGTTACAATTAGTGTTCATGGGAACAGAGTCAAGAAATCAATGGACTTATCATACTGGGAAAATTTGCTGCAAAAGACACTTGTTTAGGGGGAGCTCTGGTGGCCTAGTGGCAAGAAGGTGCAACTACAATCCCAGAGGTGCACGGTTCGAATCCACCAGATGCTCTGCCGGGGAAGGAGGGGCAATCTCCTCCTGTACCAGTCAGATCTGATTTGATGGTACACGCACACAAAAATAATAAAGTAAAAAAAATTAAAAAGACACCTGTTTAAAGCATTTTAAAAACAAAGATGTCTTTCTGAGTACTAAGGTGTGCCTGACCCAAGCCATTGCATTTTCAGTTGCTTCATAGGCATGTAAAATCTGCACAGTCAATAAGGAAGACTTAAGAAAAATTGTTACATTGGAATTATGGTGTTGTTGGTGAAGATATCAAATACCACATGGATTGGCAAAATAACAAAGTCTTGAAGGAGTGCAGCTAGAATGCCCTTTGGAAACTAGGAGAGTCTATTTCCTGGATAAGAACATCATGGTAGAGCAGAGTGCCAGTGAAAAAGAGGAAGACCTTCATAGGTCTTCATAGGATTGACACAGTCTCTGCAAAAACTGTCTCCAACACAGCAATGACTGTGACGATAGCACAAGAACAAGCAGTGTTTTCTGTTGCACAGAAGGATGCCATCAGTTGGCAATAACTCAATAGCAACAAACAACAACACACCTCATTAAACAAGGAGTCCTGGAAGTGCAACATCAAATGCTTAGCTGCTAACTAAAATTTGGTGCTTTGACTCCATCCTGGGAGAAAGACCTAGCAATGTGTTTCCATAAAAAATATAGCCTAAGGGAGCTCTGATGGCCTAATGGCAAGATGCTGTGCTGCATTCCTGAAGGCACTCGGTTCGAATCCACCAGATGTGCCGCTGGAGGAAGACGAGCAATCTCTTCCTATACCAGTTGGATCTGATTTGACCGTACAAACACACACACACACACACACACACAAAGAAATAAAATAATAAAAAAAACATAGCCTAGAGAACCCTAAAAAGGCAGCTCTATTCTGTCACATGGAGCTGCTGAGAGCTAAAATGGACTTGAAACAAAGAAATAAATTTTTAAAACTCAAAGGGAATAAAATGGTCTTGACAACATCTACTACAATAAGAATTTCATTCAATAGTCCAGTAGTCCCTGCTTATCTCTGGGAAATATATTCCAAGACTCCTGGTGGTTGCCCAAAACTTCAGAGAGTATGCAAACTATACATGCTAGATATTTCTCCCCCTATATATACATACAGCAGAACCCAAAGCACTCTGGGTGGGCAGTGTTAACCTACAGGACACAAGCAAAGGGTCACACAGCTGCTTACCTAACTTTGTTTTCTAGAAGGAAGAAGCCAGCTCTGGTTCAAGCAGGATGGCCTGAGATTTCATATTGCTACTCAGAACTGTGTGTAATTTAAATATATTTAGATCACAAGGAACTGAAATTGCAGAAAGTAAAATCACAGAAAAGGGGTACCACTATTCCTCCAAAGCAAGTACTACTAGTGCTGCTAGTTAAAGGAAAAGAAGGTTGCTAAATAACTTACCTAGGGTTATATAACTTGTAAAGGAGCTGAAGTTCAAACCCAGATCTGCCTGATTTCAGAGCCCCATCAACCATTAGGCTTTACTACCTCATTAAGTATGCCATTTCATATTCATGCTTTAGGTACTCAAATAAGCATGTTTGGGCGGGGGGAGGTTATGGCCAGCGAGCCACCTACAACTCATAGTGATCCTATGTACAACAGCTCTGAAGCTTGCCCTGTCCAAAGCCAGTCTCACTGTTTCCAACACACCTACCTCCATTACCCCAGTTACTGTGTCAATTCATATCATCTGGGGTCTTCCTCTCCTGCGCTATCCCTCCACCCTTCAAGCATGATGCCCTTCTCCGGGGACTGGCCCTTCCTGGCCACATGCCCAAAATAAGTGAGATGGAGCTTCAAAATCCTTGCCTCCAAGGAACATCCTGGTTTCATCCTCTCTAGGACACACTTATTTGTTCTCTTGGCAGTCCTTGGTATGTTCAATATTCTTCTCAAGCACCATAAGTCAAAAGCATTGATTATTCTTCTGCTGCACAGCTTGTTAAGCATTAGAAATATTTATAAGTTGTAAAGCATAAGACACATTTACAAGTTGTTATTCCACAACTTATAAATGAACATAAGACATAGATAAAAAATTCTCCAGGTCAATTACAACTTATAAAATAAAGATACATTTATAAGTCGTCACACAGAAAGACACAGATAAGAAATTCCCTAGGTCAATTATTTTCAAAAGGATTTCATCCCCCTAGTGTCCTCACTTGGCTTCCCTGTGCCAGGTTGTTCTGTGACACCCAAAAAGCTTACCTAGGGTGGACCCCCCAAAGGTAGACTCCATGGTGTAGCTGTTGAGGATTCCCATCCGCCACATCACAACCCGTCCAGTTCCTTCTTTACATTTTTGGATCTTAAAATTACAACTACGAAAGGAGAACTAGAAAGAAAGGAAAATCTTTTGTTAATCATAAACACTTAAATGTAAGATATCTAACATTCACCAGTATGATACAATCATGATATCTACTGCTACATATTATTTCCTAAAGATGTTTATAAAATGCTAAGGAAGAAGTGGATGGAGGAAAACGAAGGAAGAAAGCTGATGAGTCCATACAACTCCCTGTGTTTTTACAGACAAGGGTAGTTGTTGTTATGATGTACCAATGAGTTAGAATTGACTCATAACTGACCCCCCAGAGGGTTTTCAGAAGCAGTAAATCACTCAGTGGTCGACTGTCCATTTTTCTCCCATGGAGCAATGGGTGGAGTTGAACGTTTTGATTGGCAGTGCAAGTCTTTACTCCTAATTTCTTGTTAATCATTTGTCTCATATTTTTCTATGAGACGATAGAAATGTGTCTCATTAGAGACACATAAACTATATAAATATAAAACTATATCAATAGTTTTGTTTGATGACAGTTACATTTTATGGATCTATTTAAGATATTAAACCTTGTTGTTGTTGTTGTTATGTGCCGTCGAGTCGCCTGCGACTCATAGCGACCCTATGTACAACAGCCCTAAACTCCGCTCTGTCCTGTGCCAATCGCACTTCTCTGACACTCCCATCCCAATTATCCCAGTCACTGAATCAATCCACCTCATAGAGGGCCTTCCTCTCCTGCGCTGTCCCTCCACCCTCCCAAGCATGATGTCCCTCTCTAAGGACCGGTCTCTCCTCACAACATGTCCAAAGTAAGTTAGACGGAGCCTCAGAAATCCTTGCCTCCAAGGAGCCACCCGGTTTAACCCTTTCCAGGACAAATCTGTTTGTTTTCCTAGCAGCCTATGGTATTCTCAATACTTTTCTCCAGCACCACAGCTCAAAGGCATCAATTCTCCTTCTATCCTCCTTGGTCAATGTATATATTCAGTATATGCCCAAATGTCAAGGAGCTGCTATTTAGTCAATTATTAACCTTTTTAAGTTGTTCTCTTAGACAGTTGTTATTTTGTATTATACAGACTTTGCAGCAAGCGCTGTATAATGCTAGCATTTTCTTTGTCCTTCAGTCTCTTCCTACACGGCAGGTACAGGACTGAAGATGACAGATACTCCAACGCCCAACTGTTGTGTGCCATCAAGTCAGAATCAAGGCACAGCTGACTCTCCAGCAGCTTTTCAAAGGCAGTGAATCACATGTGAGGAGATTGGCCATCCATCTCCTGTGGAGCAGGTGGATTCAAACCAAGTACCTTTGGGACTGCAGCACAGCTCCTTACCACTAGGCAACCAGAGCTCCCTAATTAATGAATAACAAGGTCTTACAATTTACTTCCTTTCCCTTCATCCAGACTTTGAATTGTGGTTTTAGTGAAGAGGTCTGAATATATGGGCAAGCAAAAGAACAAGCAAATCTGTTGTGAGGAACTGTCATTAGGGTGCTCTGCACAGACAAGGATGGTGAAATTCTATACCATGTACTTCAAACATGTTGTCAAGAGGTGGCAGCCCTTGGGACAAGATGTCATGCTAGGAAAATGAACAGTCAAGAAAAGAGAGCAAGACCTCCAATGAGACAGATCGACACAGTGACTGTAACAGTGGGTTTGGGTGGCAGAGATCATGATCATGGGGCAGGAAAGGTCAAGCTTTCATAAGGTCGCTGTGTGTTGTAGTTCACATGGCATCAAACAACAATTCCCTGCTTTCTTGTTCCTGTCAACCCTCCAAGACTGATCTGATCTGTATGTAAATTTTTTCTTATATTTTTATATTAGTGGTCTTATACAATAACTGTCCTTTTCAAAACAACTATGAGATATCATCTCACCCCAGTCAGAATAGCAAAATTTAACGGAACAGCAAACAACAAATGCTGGCGAAGTTGTGGAGAAACTGGGACCCTTATTCACTGTTGCTGGGAGTGTAAAATGGTGCAACCACTGTGGAAGGCAGTATGGCGCTTTCTCAGAAAGTTACAAATAGAGATACCATTTGACCCAGCAATTCTACTACTGGGAATATACCCCAAAGAGACCATAACTGACATCCAAGCAGATATATGCACTCCCATGTTTATCGCGGCTTTGTTCACAATAGCAAGGAGTTGGAAGCAACCTAAGTGCCCATCAACAAACGAATGGATAGAGAAGCTGTGGTATATTCACACAATGGAATACTATGCTGCATTGAAAAACAAGGAACTCATACAATATTATTCAAAATGGGTGAGCCTGGAGGACATTATGCTGAGTGAAGTATCTCAGTCACAAAAGGACAAACACTGCATGGTGCCACTGTTGTAAATCAGGACTAACCTTGGGGTGGGGAGGAGACTGAGAAGGATAGGTTCAATAGAGTATACTCCACTAAAACAGATGAGGGAGAAAACAGGGAAACTTATTAGAGTTTTTTTTCATGACACAAGTCCAGAGTGAAGGCTGTATAGTGGAGTGGACCTTGGGGGAGAGATTGTAAAACAATGAAAGAATTTTTCTTTTACTTTTCCAAGAGGGTAGTGTACTGGGGCGGGGAGGATGGTTGGGAGGGGAGAAAAATGCAACAATGAATGAATGGAAATCCAAAGTCTCTGTAAATTTTCATTGAAATTTATAATAAACTAAAAAAAAGAACAATGCTGTGTGTGAGTGACAGGATACTATCCATATGCATACAAGGAAGTCCTGTTATACAACCATCAGTCAAATATATGCACCAACCACTAAAGTCAAAGAAGAAGAAATGGAGGATTTCTATAGCTTCTACCATGTGAAACTGACAGGACATTCAATTAAGGTACATTCCTAATAACTGGTGACTGGAATGCAAAAGTTGGAAACAAAGAAAAAGGATGATAACTGGAAAAATTGGGCATTAGTGACAGAAATTAGGCTGGAGAACAAATGACAGAATTCTGAACAATGAATTATTTAGTCATGGTAAAAACTTTTTTACCATGACACTGATGTGACAAACGTGGTAATGGTTACCCATGGTGGACAGTGTTGGCTGGAGCTTCCCGACTAAATCAAGCCTGGAAGCAGGAGCGGCATCCACTTCCAAAATGGCTTGCCTCTGGAGACTCTGTGTACGAACAGTGCTCAGGCTGTTCGTTCATAGGGTCACTATGAGTCGTCTATGACTTGACGGCATTAAACAACAACAACAACAACAAAAGCCTTTTTAAAAAAATAAGTAATGACTTTACACATGGACGTCACATGAAAGATTCCACAGGAATCAGACTAGTTATACTTGTGGCAAGAGATGTTGGAGAACCTCAGTATTAGCAATCAAAACAAGGCCAGTGGAACAGATCATCTACTGTTCATTGTTGTTATGTACTAGAAAGGCACTGACCACTAATGACCAAAGATGAGATGAGCTGTGGAAGGACATCAAGGACACCACTCATGATGAAAGTAAAAGGTCATTACAAAGACAAGGAACAAAGAAATCACCAAAATGATCGTCAGAAGAGACACTGAAACTTGAATTGGAAAAAAAAAACCAAAACCAGAATAAGGGAGGAAACGCTGAGGTGTAAGAGAGCTGACCAGAAGAGTAAAAAAAAGCAGCTTAAAAAACCCCAAAGTATTATAGTAACATTTGTTGAGAACTGGAGTTAGAAAACCAAAAGGGAAAAACATGCCCAGCACTTCTCATGCTGTAAGATGTGAAAAACTAATTCAAGCCTCAAGTTGCAATACAAAGGATTCTATAGGCAAAATCTTGAATGATGCAGGAAGCATTAAAAAAAAAAGATAGAAGGAATACATAGTCATTGTACCAAAAAGAATTGTTCAACACCAAACCATTTTAGGAAGGAGCATATGATCAAGAATCAATAATACTGAGCAAAGAAGTATAAACTGTATGGAAGGTGTTGGCAAAAAAGAAGATCCCTGGATTGATAAGAGTATCAGAAAACAGTATAACCCTGGGCACACTCACTAGTCTCTATCAACAAATATGGAAGACAGCTACTTGGCCTACTGAACGGAAGAGATTCATATCTGAATCTTTGGTACAGTGGTGAGAATTTTTGTTTTCTTGAAGTTGAGATGTAATCCATATTGAAGGTTTTAGTTTCTCTCAAAAACAGTGATCCAACAGAATGTGACTACCATAAAAACATAACATTAATATCACATGAAAGTAAAATATTGCTGGCTATTATTTAAAAATAACTAGAACAGTATATTGACAGAGAACTGCTGCAAATTCAAGCTAGATTCAGAAGAGGTCATGGCACACGGGATATCACTATTGAAAATTAGGTGATCTTGGCTCAAAGCACAGAACACCAGAAAGATGTTTACTTGTGTTTTATTGACTATGCAAAGGCATTTGGCTGTGTTAATCACAACAAATTATGTCTATCACAACAACTTATGGCTAATATTGAGAAGAAAACAAATTCCAGAACACTTCATTATACTCATGTGAAATCTATACATAAATCAAGTAACAGCTGTCCATACAGAACAAAGGAACACTGCATGGTTTCAAATCAGAAAAAGTGTATGTCAGGGTTTTATTACTTTTCCATACCTATTCAATCTGTTGGCTGAATTGATCATTCATGAAGTTAACTTTTTTAAGAAGAATGTGACATCACGATTGGAGAAAGACTCATCAATAACCTGCCTTATGCAGATAACACAATCTTGCTCACAGAAAGGACTTGCAGAAGACATGAAGCACAAGCACCTGCCTAGATCAAAGACTACAGCCATCAATATGGGTTACATCTCAAGATCAAAAACCAAAAATCATCAGTCCCAGACCATAGACAACATCATGATAAATAGAGAAAAGACTCAAGTTGTCAATGATTTTATTTGGAGCCACAATAAATACTCATGGTGCCAGCAATCAAGAAAGCAAAAGGTGTGTTGCATTGAGGAAATGTGCTATCAAGGACCTCTCCTCAAAGTTCTAAAGAGCAAGGATTTCAGTCAAAAGACTAAGATGCACCTTATCAA